TGGGCTCGCGGCAGGTGGGGCGGCCATGGCGCGCGGGGCGGCCCGGCACGTCCCTCGCACGCTGGCGCGCGCGGAGGGCGGGAAAGGCTTGTCTCCCGCCGGAGCGGGGAGGGAGGGCCCGGCCGTGAGGAGGCCGTGTTCTCCGGAAACTACCTCCTGTCGCTGTCGCCGTCGCCTTCGCCGTCGCCGGGGGACACACGGCTTCGGCCGAGACCCAGGCCCTTCTGGCCAACCCTGCTCTACCTCAGCCCTGCTGTCCGCTTTGTTCGCTGCTGCCAAGCGCAACTTGCGCAGCGCTTCTGCCGACGTAGCTTGGCGCTGGCTTGGAAAGAGTACATCGAGGCAGGCTTGGATCTAGGAAAAGAAAAAAAAAAGAGGATTCCCCCCAAAAGCTTAAGTCAGCGCAAAGAGATCCTTGCCGTCTTCCCGCCTGAGCTCTGGCACTGGGTGAAGGAGGAGATCGAGCCGGCACAACAAATGCAGCTGCCTGCGAAGCCCGAGGCTCCCCCTGAGCGTACAGGCTACAGCAGGTTCATCACCAGACTGAGTGGGGCTGGACACGGTGGTGATCGCAGGGTTCGGGAGACACACCTGTTACACCTCTGTTCAAAACACCTCTGCAAAAACAGAATTTTCCTTCCCACTTCCTTGAGCACTGAATGACCCAGAGAGGGTCAGGCCGTATGGGCCAAGGTCACAAGCTTTCCACCCATAGACCTGTCTGTGCTGGAAACCAGAACCAGCCACAGCCATACTCAGTTACCGCCAAAAAGAATTGCTTGGAATCTATTTTGAGCACGGAGGCAGTGACGTTTCATGGTGAAACCTGCCTTCCCCCCGCAGAGCTTTGTACCCAGTGTCCATGGCTGCTGGGGAAGGCAGGGGTGGAAGAGGTGAATGCCCACGCGTGGGGAAACCACAGTCTCCATCACCCACTGCTTTGAATTTTAAAAAACAACTGCGTAACTTTGTTTCACACAGACACAGTCTCTGCTCAGATTATGTTTAAAAGCAACTGCCCGTCCTTTCTGTGCTATAAAATCCAGTTTGACAGAGGATTCAATTACTACTAATCATGCTTCACAGTTAAAAGCCTGAAGAGAAGAGCATCTTAACCCAGTGTCCAAGGTACACAGTTCTGTCTCCTTACCACTATAGTATTTCCTTCTGTGTCAGATGCCTACATGTTTGTTGTGGAAGTTACTCATAATCACTACCATCATTAAAAAAAAAGAAAAAATGAAATCAAAAGTCATGTGTTTAAGAAAATAACAAAATTGCATGGTTTTGATAAACAGAGTTGTTAAGGGAAAAGAAGTCTAACAGTGTTCCTTTAGGGTATATATATCGTTCTGAAATAAACGCACAAACATCATTACAATTACCTCCTGCTTCTCCTTTGGGAAAGCATATATAAAGTATTTAAGTAGTGGAATATGAACATACACAGTATCATTTTTAAAGGTACAGAAATCCAGGTAAATAGGCAGTGTATCAATTCAGCAGAATTATTTCAGTGACAGTTTTCACCTCTCCTTTCATATGGAAAGAAATACACCGTGTAATTACCAAATGTTTATTTTCCTGAACAGCTAGCCAAGCAAATTAGTTAATAAACACATAAAATCCCTACACTTCTACCTAAGCATTGTTGGGGATGAAATACCTCTGCACAGATGCCAGAAATACACAGTCATTGTTTACGCAACTATAAAGACTCTTCTGAAAACACACATATCCAAAAGTAGCTTAAGACTAAATGGTCCTGGATCACCCAGGAGGTTTTTTTTAAAGACCTTCCCTCCCCCACATTACCTCAGCGATTCGTAGGTTTCAAGCTGCATCCGAGAAATTCCATCTTTCCAGCCTAACCACCTACACAAACCCTCACATCCTGCCAGCCACGACTCTCTTCAAATTCTTCCTATTAATTAGTTCTTGAGCTTCGTGCCACATTTTGCTCACCTCATTAGTGCCTGCAAAACTCTTCTGCCCCTGAATAACTACATACTTGTATTGGTTATAAACACAGATGCAACGATTTTCATCTATTTTGTACGGCCCAGCCCAAGGGCCACTTAAGGACAAGGCTTCCCGACTACAGCTGTTCTGGAAGATAACTCGCTAAAAATTCCTCTGCGCTTCCTATCTCTGACTACACATCTTGCAGAGGTATCAAGAAAATGAAATTGGAAAAACTGGTCCTAATAAATGTGTGTAAGCAATCAGGTAAACCAAGGCGTGCTGTTGGATCTCACACCCTTCAGCATCAAAAGCAGCAACGCAGCCCAGTGTTAATTGCCTTTGCTGAAGGCTATCGTTGCTTTCACAGACTGTTCTTCACTCTGCCTGTTAAATCAAGTAATTCACTGATGCTTTAAAAAAAGTTTATTTTCCTGTAGACTTCTTAGGCTGTATCATCTACACAAAATGAATCAGGGTGAGTTTTAGGAGGTTTTTGGCACTGAAAGTTAGTTGGGACTGTTGGAAAACATCATGCGGAGCCCACAGGTTTAACCACACAAATCCGCAAGCATTACGCTCCTGTTTTGACTGTTGCCTCTGTCCCTGTTGCTATAGAAACAGATTGCACTGCCAAAAATGGAAGGATGATAATCCTCGGGAAAAAAAAAAAAGCAAAAAAAAGAAAAAGCTGGGGATGCAGCTAAAGATAATTTTAAAAGCACTCTCGCAGCATTTTGGTATTATATCCCTTTTTATAAGAGAGACAGCCAGAAGCTATCAACAGAAGTGGAAACAATGCCTCACATTTCAGGAGAAATCAGCTTCAAACAGCATTTTCCCTCAATTATCCTTCCAGGTTTTGTAGTATCTACATGGGGAAAACAAAATGCATTACAACGAAACAGTTTCTGATCACTGGAAGTAGTGAAGTCTCATTTTCTAGACTGAAGTTTCGTGGCCTAGTGCCCTTTTAACTGAATTGCATTCAGAGTTTCTGTTATTTTTGCCCATTGGGCTTCCGCATTTAATTTGCAACAGGACAGGCAGGTAGTGGGAAAGATCCTGTGGATGCCCAAACCGCAGCCTGTCCTTTCCCATCACGTATTTTCGCATTGTTTGGCACTGGCCAACAGCTAGAATGCTATCTCCACTGACCCCCGGCCTACGTGACACTGTCCATCTCCTTTCCTTGGGAAAAATGGCCCCAAACGCGAAGGGAACGTTACTTTCCCCGTCTTCCTTCTTCTGCCGTGTTAAGGGCCACGGGGCTGCGGTGGGGGGGGTGGTCCGGGACAGCAAGCGGGACAACCGCCACTCGCCGGCCGC